AGCCTTATCCACGTTCGGGCGAGCGCGCGGCCGACGACGACGGCCAAGACCACAGCGGCCGCCCCGCACCCGATGCCCACTGCGACCGCGAACGTACTCGAGCTTCCGTCGTCGGCGGAGGGCGGCGGCGGAGAACGGACCGGCGGCATCACTGGCGGCAATGTCGAGCACGCAAAGGAGCGGGGCCCCGAGCAGCGCGAGCTTTTCCACTGCCACTCGCCATTCTCGTACACCTCTGTGCACACATGCGTCTGTTCTTCGGAAGGACTGCCGGGCAGCCAGTTGGTGAAGTTCAACGGTGTGCCATCGACCCACTCGAACTCACTGGATGACTCCGACCGGTGCAGTCCGAGCCAGAAGTGGACGCGCCAGCTTCTGTTATGCGACGCGAAGACGGCCTCGAGCGACTCCTGATCTGCGGCGCTGCGAACGATAGCGAGGCTGTAGCCGAGGCGCTCGCAGTGTAACCGCGCGCTGTCCCACTCCATGACGGGAAGGTGCACGTCTGGGGATGGAGACTTCATGTCCAGTGAGAGGATGTATCCTGTCATTTTCGGGTGTATCCGCTGCGCCTTGCGAGCGCCGTTCCCACCGTCGTGTGCAGGTGTGTATTCTTTTTGGAGCGAGTGACGGATTAAGTCGTGTGAAAGAGCTGTGAATGCGAAAGTAGCGAAATTAATTGCCCGCCGCAGGCGAGGAAAATTTTCAGGGTTTTTGGTCCCCTACGCCGAAGAAACAACCGAAGAGATCGAAGATCTCGGCGGGCGCGCGGAGGACGCGCCAACGAGGCATGCCTGCAGCATCCAAACGAGGCGCACGGCGTCGCTCAGCCGTGTCCACGCGGCTTCGCTCCTGTCCTAACCGGCGCCATCTGGGCGGCTGCTGCGGAGCTGCTGCCGGCGGTGCGACAACTGGCCGACAGATACGACGCTCAGGGCACCCGTCGCGGCGATCCACCGGGAAAGGAACATCGCGTGCGCACGTGATGGTGGTGAGCTCGGTCGAAGGTGGTGGGCCAAAAACGCGAGTAATAAATAAATAAATACAACGGACATCCCAAGCTAGGGCTGGGTCGAGGACAGACACGTCCCCACCTTTGCAGGATTTTGCAAAAGCGAGGGGGGGAGGGCGCATCGCCGCGCGGAGAGGGCTGGGCACAGGGCACAGGGGATCTCTCTCGCATAGGATATGCACTCGGCGGCACGAGGGCAAGGCTGGGCGTCCTATGTTTGTGCTCCCCCCCGGACCCCTCGCTCTCGGGCACTAACCATCTGACCACTCATCGACGGGGCTTGGCGAGCGGCCGCGCTGCGGGGCAGGGCTGGTGAGAATGGGCTCTGGCCACTCGCCCGTGCGGTTGTAACCCCGCATCTGTCGGACAGAGGCCTCGACCGCCCCTCGCGGCAAGCTCTCGAGCATCTCGAGCAGCTCGCCCGCCGCCATCGCCGCCTCGAACTGCTCCCTCATGCCGAGCGCGCCGCATACCCTGCGGACCGCCTCCTAAAAAAAACGCGAGTAGGTACGGCCGCGCGAGGGTGTGCAATTCTTTTTAGACCGACGTCTTTTTTAGCCATCCAGGAAGGAGGAACCGATCTCGCTTAACGATCTCGTTTATGGCGCCGAGTTTGCGACACAAGTGCAAGGAAAGGTCTGATTTTGCTGTCGAGTACACGATGGGGGATGCCCCCTTTGCCACCGCGCTGGGCTTAGAGACCTCAGCATCCGGCATGGCGTCCTTTGCGAGTGGCTGGGGCACGTCTGCTTCTGGCCGCTACTCTGTCGCGACGGGGGCCGATGCCGTCGCATCCGGCCTTGCCGCTTCGGCGCTGGGCTTCATGACCCAGGCGGAGAGCCAGGCTGAGACGGTGGTCGGGCGTTACAATGCTCTCGCCAGCTCACCCTCTGCGGGCTCTTGGGTTGACACGGACGCCGTCTTCCGCATCGGCATTGGTGTCTCCAACGACAACCGCAGGGACGCGCTCACAGTATACAAAAACGGCACCGTCGTCATCGGCGGCGACATCATCGCCACCAACTTCGTCTCGCCCCCGTCGCCGCCGCTCTCGCCCCTCTCGCCGGCGCCTCCTAGCTGCTGCCCCTCAACTACGGATGCCGAGGAGAGGGTCGGTATCCTCGAGCAGAAGCTAGCGGCCCTTGAGTCGGCGCACGCTGAAGAGCGTGCGGCAACGGAGAAGAAGCTTGCCGTGCTCGAGGCGTCGGTGGCGGCGCTCCTGCATGGGGACGGCACAAGTGCGGCCGTACCAGGGCGGTGTGGGCAGGCCACCGATGTCGACGCCATCGCCTCTGCGGCTACCGCGCTCTCGCTTGACGACACCGTGGGGAATCACACCGATGACTTTGCCGAGCGGCGATGCGGTTCGGCACTCTAGTTGTGGAGGAGGAGGGCGGGCGGCGCCGAGCGGCCGGCGTATTTTCCGGCCAGGTCGACGAGGGTGAAGGCGTCGATGAGCAGCAAGCCGCCCGTGGGCAACGCCAGGGCCACGGCGGGTCCTGGCGACCTCGTTCGAGGGAGGCCGGGGTGGCCAGGGCCATTATTGCGATTCTGCGTAGCTTGTCCTTGGGGGTGTTTTGAATCTCGTGTGTCGAGGTTCGTATTCGTTGTCGTGTCATAGGAGAGGAGAGAGTGGAGATGTTTTGTGCGGGAAGGCGCCGCTGTCGGCGATTCACCGCCGCTCGTTCCCGTCTCTTAAAGCTGGCTACACCGTCGAGATGCGCACATCGAGGCGCTCGTGGACGAGGGAGACGTCGCCTCCTCTTTCGTACCGGGGCACTGTTCGCGCCGGAAGGCACCGCGCACTGCCAAGTACATTAGCCTTCATCTCTCCTACCGCCGGCCGGGAGGGCAGCCTTCGCCATCGCTGAGTGAGATTGTCCTCGACACGTTGGCACCTGCGAAGTAATGAACAACATGCAGTACGTCATATGGCGCTATGACAGCCCTGCGATGGGCGTCCTCGACGCAGACGAGGCGGAGCTCATCTGCGCGGCGCAGATCGCCGACTTTCTCTCTCTCCCTGCGCGAGTGGTTGCGCCACCGTGGATGAGGCATATGGGCTGGGCAGGGGAGTTGGTAGAGCCGTAGAGGAGGTTGACTGAGGGCGCGAGGCCGCCAATCGTCACAGTCTGCTGCTGACTGTCGGTCGCTGACTGGTTGCGCATCGCGCTGGCCGCGCAGCGGCCTTTAGAAAATTTTGGCCGCAGGCCTAGTTTTGGAGAAGATCAAATAATGAGCGCCGGTGAGGCTTTGAGAAGCTGCCGTTTGCGGCTTCCTAAGTCAATTTTTCGAGAGGAACGTTTTGGCTTAGCTATAACGGCTCCAAAGTCGCGCGATCATCGAGTTTTGAGTCAATAATTATGAAAGGAAGGGGCTGGCGAGAACCAATCGATTCAGCGTGCTCTGAAACGCCCAAAACCGTCGAGTTTTTCGCGGTAGGCAATAGAGCCCTTAATATTTGATCTTTCTTGGCCACGGCCACGATTACCCGTCACTCGCTCTTTGCTTGGCCGTACATCAGGACGGGGTAGGTAGGGTAGGTCTGGGCCCTCCCGTCGGGTTTTTCCCTCTCTTCACGCTGGAAGTTTCACAGCAGAAAAAGAAATTTTCCGCGGAAATCACGATGTCAACCCTCCCCAAATGGGTGATCTGATGCTTGTAGGGCTTGAGAGTGGCCTGCCATGTCACAAGAAGGATTGTGGTTGCAGGAGAGTACCACCAACCATCACTCTAGTTGGTATAGTACCCCACCTTCACCGATCGAGTGATTTCTTTTTTAGTTTCCCATAAGTAAGGTAGGTAGGTAGGTAGGTAGGTAGGGGCACCGCAGGGGCCGGCCAGGTTTTTGCAGAATTTCGTACGGCCAAGCAAAAAGAATACACACCTGTCGTGTGTGTGGAGGGGGAGTGTGGTGATGTTGGGAGTGTGAACGCCCTCCTCATGAATAGATAGAGAGAGAGAGAGGGAGAGACGTCTCTATCCTAGCGAGATGTCTGTGTGAACAGGGACATGTGCGGGACGTGTCAGGCCGGCTTGCTTATTGCTCTGTTTGTCGGACGTCCGCTCAACCGCGGCTTGGCTGATGTAGTCTTGCTTGTATCGTTCCTGTACGCCTCGGTACAGACCCTCGCTCCGTGTACAGCTCTGAGCTCACTACAGGTGAGTGTGACTCACTCACACTGCGTTGTCCTTTCCGCTTCCGCAACGAAAACCTTCCGCTACGCTACATTCGCGACGGTGCTGTAGAGAAAAAAGGAAAGGAAAACAGACGGGGTGCGAGAGGCAAACCGGGTTGAGCCCAATAATCATGCGGAAGCTCGACAAACCGTTGGACTTCTTTTGCTCTAAACTCGACTACTGTCCGGCGAGTGCTGCGGCTGGTGCGGCAGAGGTGAGAGGAGGATGAAAACCGAGACCCGAGTCGTAGCTTGTGCGGATATCGCTGAGCGTGAGAGGGACCGGATCGGCAGCAGCATGGGCGGCCGCGTCAGCGGCCGGAGAGGCCGGAGAGCCATCCGACGGAGGCCGGTCGTGCATCGGCGCGTCAGCCGCAGGGGCCGGGGGGGCGGCGGCATCCATCGCTGCGGGTCGCTGCGGGCCGACGATTGTGGACTGATCGATCGTGCCGGGCGGATTTCGGCTGGGACGTTCTACGTCAAAAGAACGATAATGGCGCCAATTTCTTCTTTACGGCGCTTTTTGAAGAATTCTTCGGCAGCACATCATCCATGGGAGTTCGAGAGGTGACGCGATGTGGAAGATGTAGGAAGGGGCAACCAGTATGTGGTGTGAAAACCCCTATTTGGTGCGGCGGCGCAGAGTGCGCCGAAACGGCGGAGAAAACGGCGCACATTTGCGCCGGCGGCGCAAAGTGCGCCGTTTGCCGGCGCAGAAAACGGCGCACTTTTGCCCGCACCACATACGCGTTTTGCATGGTTTTACGCGCCCCACCGCCGGCCCAGACCGCCGCCCGGCCCGCCCGTCCGCCCGCCGCCTACGGTGCCCACCCCGCGCCCCCGGAGCCCGAAAACGGGGCGCCGCGAGCTCGCATACGCCGAGTTTTCCTCGAAATCACACCACATACTGGTTGCCCCTTCCTATATATGTTGTCGACCGCCTTCATCCTCACCTCCTTCGTGCTGACCGCCTCGGCGAAGCTGGCGATCATCGGCGAGTACCACGGCGAGTATAGTCCTTGCAGCTTCCACCAGGTCGTCGTGACGGAGACGGAGTTTCGCGACGCATACCTTCCGAATCCCGACAGTGTCACCAACATCACGCAATACGACAACGACGAGAAATACTTGGTCGGCCAGAACATCGACTGGGAATATGCGAAAGACAAGTGGTCGCGCATCGACTGGGAATATGTCGAAGGGAAATTTACCTACTGCCGCATTGTTTATAACGCCGACAACGAGACGGAGGCGAAAAGTTTTGCGAAACCTAAGATTGCGATCAAGAACTCATGCGGAGGCTTCCCGTGGTCAACGATGACTTCGGGGTTGGCGACTCTGTGCCCGCCGTCCCTGCCCCCCCCCTCTCCGGCCTCTCCGCCGGCCTCTCCGCCCTCCCCCGGTGGCGGCGGCGGCGGCGATGGCGACGATCCCTGCTTCTCCCGCGACACGCACGCGTGCCGCCTCCTCGACCCCAAGGCGCGCTCCCTAGGCGGCGAGTCGGACTAGCGAGGCGCCCATTCACACCCGTGCCCCGTGCCCCCTCCCCCCCCCCTCCCCCCGCCGCCCAGGCCCCCGCCGCCGAGGCGTACGCCCAGTGCTTCCTCGGCGCCGCCGGCGACGCGGCGACGCGCGCCCCCATGTCCGAGCTCGCCGCGGGCGACACCGTGCTCTCCGACGCGGACACCGCCGCGCGCGTCGTCGTCAACCAGCACAAGGTCGAGGACGGCAAGGCCTCGCTCCTCATCACGCTCACGCACGCGCGCGGCTCGCTCGCGCTCACGCCCGACCACGTGCTCGAGCTCGACGGCAAGTTCATGCCTGCGCGCGAGGCGCACGTCGGCGCGGCCCTCTCCAACGGCGCGGTCATCGAGGCCATCTCGCACTCGCGCGGCGGCATCATCAACCCCATCACCGCCACCGGCAAGATCCTCGCGGCGGCCGCCACCGGCGAGCCCGTGGTCGCGGCGACGGGCAACGAGTGGCTCGCCGACGTGATGCTCTCGGCCTACCCGAAGTACACCCTCTCGTACACGCTCGCGGCCGCCTTCCCCGCCGCGGTGCAGGCCTACTACGACGGCGCGCTCGAGCCGCTCTTCACCGCGGCCGTCCCGCACCTCACCAAGATCAAGGCCGCCGCGCCGGCGCCGCTCGTCGGCGTCATTCTCGTGGCGGGCGACGCGGCGCTCGCCACCGGCTTCGCCGCCTACTCGCTCGGCCTCAAGGGCGTCGCCACCCTCGCCGTGATCGCCGTGGCGGCCGCGCGCAAGGGCAAGAAGCCGTGAGGCGCGCGCGGCCTGGCCGTCGGAGGTTTGTAGCCGCTCCGCCCTGCTTCCCGAGCTCTGCGACGGTGCACGCACACACACGCCCTTGCCCCCCGCACTCCACATTCAGCCCCCGCATACGCGCGCTTTCGTCTTCCAACATCAAGGTGTTCGAGCCGCTCTCCTCGCTCGAGCTCGCCGCCGCTGTCGCCGTCACGGCCGCCGCAACCCTCGGCGCGCGCAAGCTCGCGGCAGGGCGCAAGTGATGGATGACCGGGATGAAGGCCGCGCGCGCATCCAGGGCCAAGGGGTGGGAGGGAGGGAGAGGGCGTAGCCACTCGTCTTGGCTGCTGGCGGCACACTCTCTCAGGCACGATCGGGGAGCGAGAGAGAGGATAGGGCCGCGCGCACCCAAAGGACGGGGGGGGGGGGGGGTGGTCGCCGTCGCGGGCCAAACGTGAAGCCGCGTGCGGCGTCGCCCATTGGCATTGCCATTCCTTCCCTCGTTTGGCGTGACTGTTATCTTTCTTTGAGCGCGAGCGAGATGCATAATTACAAGACTCAAGAGCCCGCACCATCATTATACTGATTACAATCTCAATCTGACATTTGCCGTGACCGCGTTCCGAGGTCACGATTTCGGCGTTCTCGTGTTGACCACTATGGGTGTGCCTCTGCCTGGCACTTCTGGATCATGTCTCTCGGTGTCCTAGCACCCCCAGGCGATGGGTTTCACGGCCCCGTACCGCATGGGGCGCAAGGCCTCGCGCCGCGCGTGTGGTTCAAACTTTGTTACAACCCACAGTCAGAATAGGTCAAATTGTCCAAATTTGGGGTACGCCCGTAACAAGGAAACAACGGAATTCGCCTCTCTCTGTGCAGCGCCTGGACTGTGTCAGCGCCTCTTTGCTTGACCGCCCTACCTGCATGTCGGCAAACGGGAACAAGCCGCACCCCGGCGGGCACGTGCGCCCGGCCTCAAAAGCCGATGTTGGAAACTACACGCCGACCAACATTCTCGTCACGGGCGGCGCGGGCTTCATCGCGTCTCACGTCGTCATCGGCCTGGTGGAGAAGTACCCACAGTACAAGGTGTGCTCAGCCCGCGCCCGGATGCCCTGTCGCCGGCGCGGCTCGGCACCACCCGACGGGCGCGTGGGCGCTCTCCCGGCGGCGGCGCAGGTGGTGTGTCTGGACAAGATGGACTACTGCAGCAGCTTGCACAACCTCGACCAGGTCAAGGACAAGCCAAACTTCAAGATGGTCAAGGGGAACCTGCTCTCTGCGGACCTGATGAACTACGTCCTCGAGACCGAGCAGATCGACACCATCATCCATGCCGCCGCGCAGGTTGCCCTCCCCATCCCCTCATCTACCCGCCGCGCCCGCCACACCGCCACACTGCGCCCCTCGCAGCGGGCGGCTCACTCGCTCACGCGCGCGCGCGCGCGCGCGCCCACTTGGCAGACGCACGTGGACAACTCGTTTGGCAACTCGTTCGCCTTCACGGAGAACAACGTCCTCGGCACGCACGTCCTCGTGGAGGCTGCGAAGAAGGCTGGCATCCGCCGCTTCATCCACGTGTCGACCGACGAGGTGTACGGCTCCTCCTACTCCGAGGAGCCGAGCCGCAAGGAGGGGGACGTGCTCGAGCCGACCAACCCGTACGCGGCGACCAAGGCAGCCGCCGAGAACATCGCGCGATCGTACTGGCGCACTCCGCCCCGCCGCCGCGCGAGCCCCCCCCCCCCCCCGAGCTGCGCCGTCCGCCTCCGCACCCGCCGCCTCCTTACCCGCTGCCTCCTTACCCCCAGCCCCCCCTCTTCGCCGCAAGGTACTCGTTCAAGATGCCAATCATCGTCACGCGCGGCAACAACGTCTTTGGGCCGCACCAGTACCCCGAAAAGGCGCGCGCCGCACGCCCGGCGCCCCACCCGCCGCGCCGCCGCGCCGCCGCGCCGCGCCGCGAGCGCTGCCCGCCGTCTGTCCCTCAGGTGATCCCCAAGTTCGTGCGGCGGCTCGTCAACGGACTGCCGGCGGCTCGGCCGCGGCGGCGCTCCGCACCCGCCGCACGGTTCTGCTCACGCCCGCCCCGTCCGAGCAGGTTTGCATCCACGGAGACGGCTCCAACTCGAGACACTTCATCTTTGTGACGGACGTCGCTAACGCGTTTGACACGATCATGCACAAGGGCGTGGACGGCGAGGTGTACAATATCGGCTGCGACGACGAGTTCACCAACCTCGAGGCTGCGGGCGACGCGCACGCGCAGGCCCCGCGACGCGCCCGCGCGACGCCCGCCGCGCGCCGCCCTGTAGGTTGCGAAGAAGCTCGTGCAGGCGGTCACGCCCGGCATCAGCGACGAGGAGGTTGCCGCGCAGATCACGCACGTGGAGGACCGCGCCTTCAACGACGTGCGCTACTACATCGACTCGAGCAAGCTGCAGGCGCTGGGCTGGAAGTGCCAGGTCAGCTTCGAGGAGGGGCTCAAGCGGTGCGTCGACTGGTACAAAGCCGTCGACAAGAACTGGTGGCCGATCGGGACAGACTCGGCGCTCGCCCCCCACCCCGTAAAGCCCAAGGACGCATCACCGTGCGAAGTCATCAAGGGCAACTGACGAGGAGTGAGTCTGCGGAGACTGCTGGGCGTGGGACGCCAGGCGCGGTGGCTGTGGCACATGATTGGTCCCGTGGCACGTTATTGGTCCGCTGTGCGGCGTGGCGCGTGCGGCGGCACGCACAGCTCAGGTGCGGGGCCGATTGCGGATTGGCGACTACACACTACACTGTGTCCGTGAGAGTGGACATTGGAGGGATTTGGCAATTGCCAATTGGCATTTGCCATACGGCCGGTGTACAGTCTCTAAGGAGGGCGGGAAAGATTGATTCTCGCCCTGTCTGTAACTATTGATATTGATTATTGACAGCATCCCCTCTAGCTATTGACAATATATTGACATATTGATCGCTGATTTTAACCTCCAAGCTCCAAGAGCACCAAATGTGTCGACATTTCTCAAAGAATCTCATCGGAGTTCGGACGCCTAGATGTGGGGGCTGAAATCGAAAAATCACGAGTTCAAAGCGATTTTTATGCGATTTAAGCGATTTTGAAGCGATTTGGGCCCGTTTTGAACGATTTAGAGCCATTTTTTCAAGGCCCGGGAAGCGGGATGCGGATGGGCGCGCCCCCTATTGGTATGTTGAGTCCAACCTGACGCGGTCCTGAGACCTGACCAGCCCAGGCCCAGCCTCTCCTCTAACTATTGCAACATATATTGATATTTCCCGCAAGTACAGTCACGGGCGCACTTGGTCCTAAAACGTAAAATAAACGAGAAAGAAACGAACAGACCGAACGCAAGGGAGGGATGGGAGGACTAAAAGAAAGGGACGGCACGCCGCCACACAAAGGGAATTAAAGGGGAGGAGTGTGGTGAGCCGTCGCCCACCCTAACCCTTGGTCGAGCGTCTGCGTCTTTCTCTCTCCCTGTTCGCAGTCCCTCGCCGATTCTCGCTCTGCAACCTTCATGCCACCTCGCGGTCGTCCCACTCTCGTCGTTCTCCCTCCTGTCGTTTCCTCCTCTGTCGCGTCGTTCTCGTCTGCCTCGTCCTGCGACGCCGCCGCCGCCTGCCGATCCCTTGCTCTCGCGGCTTCTCCCCGCCTTTCGTCGCAGCTCTGCCCTCCTCGCGGCATATTTTGGCCCCTCGAGTTTATCGAGCTCTCCTCGCGCAAGGACGACTCTTCTGACGCCCACTGCGATCATTTGCCGCCAAGTCATATCGTTGCTCAGGTCCACTCTCTCTTCGAACACTTGTACCTCCACCGATGATGTTGGCTCTGGGGTCCCCTTCGGGTGCATCGTGACAGCTGACGACGGGATTACCACTGGTGTTTCGTTCTCCTCGGAGCCTTCTTCCCCGGCTTCCCCCCGTTTGGCTCTTACTACGTTCATTTCGTTCAGCGTGGCTCACCCTCCATGCCGTGAACAGGCGCTTTATCCATCCTACGTTCTTCTCTCGCTCCTCTGCCCGTGCCTTGGTCTTGTCGTTGGTTTCGCACCCATGTCTGTATGGCGATCGAGGCTGCCTTCCCCACTTGCCACTACCTGTAGTTCACTCGTCACCTCTCCTGCGAGCTCCCCTCTCTTTCTTTCGGGTATGGAGTCCGTGAGTGCGGGCAGCGTGCAGGCAATCACGGCACACGGGCGCTATTTTGTCGTACTCTTCTTCGGCGAGCGCTCCAAATCTAGACCCCATTGCCTTTAAGGAGGCTGCCCTCGCGCGTCTCAACACAAACACGAGTTGTTTGGTATTGCTAAAAATCTCTCTCGCGTCTCATGATGTGTGAGTGTTAGAGTTGTTTGGTATTGCTAAAAATCTCTCTCTCTCGTCTCAGGAATGCGGCTGTGTCTTGGGATGGCGGATGGGAGGACTTGGTCCCCAAAAAGCCGTTTTTTTTCTCGCAAAAATGTGTTGCATGAGCTCTGGCGAGTAGAGGCCCCGCCCACCCAGGGTACCCCTCTCGAGGGACCCATTGGGTCGCTGCTCTTTACAGGTCTTCGGGGCCCCCGGGAGGCCAAGAGACCTCGAAAGGGCGTGCGTGTGCCTCTACTCGCCGTATGAGCTCGTGGTTCGTGGCCGCCTTGATTGCGTCGGTGTGCGAAGGCAGCAGCCCAGCCGTGCTCGCGGGCCCACGTGCGGCGCTGCAGCGCCGCCGCGGCGTGCTCAGCGTGGCGGTCCGGCTCCGTGGCGGCGTGTCGCAGCTCCAGTCGCTCGAGGAGTGGGAGACCATTCGCAACGAGGAGTCTGATCGGCTGGTCGTTCTCGACTTCACGGCCACGTGGTGCGGGCCGTGCCAGCGGATCGCGCCTGCCTACGCCGAGATGGCTGATCACTATTCGGATCGTGCGCTGCTCGTGAAGGTTGACGTCGACGAGTTGCCAGAGCTGGCGGCCGAGCTTGGGGTGTCCTCGATGCCGACTTTCCTCTTCTTCCGCGATGGGGAGCAGGTCGACATGATGCGCGGGGCGGATGAGCAGGGCCTTCGCTCGCTCATCGAGAAGCATACCGCGCTCATGGCGACCCGCTAGTACAGGTGCAGGTGACTGTGCGCGTCATGATGTGGTGATGTCATCGAGAGGGGGCCGCGAGCCGTCGCCAAGCCGGGTGTCAAACGCGAGGATCGTGCAGCGCAGCACGAGCTTTCGACGATCCGAGGAGGGTGAGAGTTGAGGCGCTGCGTCTCTTTCCCGTTGTGAGAGAGAGATTTTGCTTTTTGTCCCGTTGATGCACACACCCTGAGTGGGCGTACACATCACTCAGGGCCACGTCCCCCCTGTCGCCCCCCCCAGCACCCGCGGTGCCAAGGGCTTAACCAGCGCACACACAAAAACACAGACCGCACGACCGCAGGCGACAGCCGACAGCAGAGCCAGAGGCGGGCGGGGGGGGGGGGGGGCGGGGCGGGGCCAGGGGGGTCGAACGTCTAGGCCGCACACCGTGGCACTATGTGACGACTTGGGGAGGCGTGCGACCGCAGCGCGCCCGCCGCAGGCTCGACGGGGCGCGCGTGTCAGCGAGAAAGTTGCGGGCGGAGCCACATACCCGACCGTTTTGGAAGGCGAGTCCCCCGCGCCACGGATGCTGGCCGCCGACGAGCGCGCTCGCGCTGCTCGTCAAAATGGCGGCGGTGGCGATTGCCAGGCCCCCGTTCCAAATCCGAAGAGTTTTCAGGTGGACCATCAATAGTTACCGAGATATGGCCGCTCAAAGTCTGAGACCTGTCACAAAAGTCTTTTCACTTTTGAGGAAAAGTGATGCACGTATTGGGAGCGCGACTGCCTGGCGCTCCGCTGAGCGCTGTACCACAAGGATGTGCTGACTCGATCCTACCCCGAATTCTCTCTCTCGAGTTCTTCTACCCCCACGACTCGAAACACGAAAATGTGACAGGACCATCGGGTCCTTCAGCCACCAAAGTGAGATCACCCGAGAGCAGCTGAGTCTGGCCTCTGGCCTCGCCTCCCTCTCCTTCAGGCATTCGTGGCATCCTATGGGTCGTCCAGAGTATCGACCTCTGGCTTGTCAGCCAGCCCCACTTTGAGGGCGCCATGAAGTACAGCGATCGCCATCTCGCTGGCCTCTCCGCAGGCCCCCCCCGACCGCGTCGAACTCATCGGCGCGGGCTCTCTCGGCTACGGGACCGGCCCCAGCTTCGGCTGAGGGCTGACAAGCTGCCGAGCCCAAATCACTGTGGTAGTCGTGATTTCTTGTTGGTTTTCAAAAATCTCTCTCTCTCGGATGCCAGTCCGGGCCTCCGCGGGAGTCGCCCATGGAGTCGCCCTACATACACACACACACACACACACGTCGCCCTTCGAGCCGCGTCCCGTCGGTTACTCCCTTAGTGTAGGTAAACCATAAAAGTAGGTTTGAATTCGTCCACGTAAGGCTTGGTGAGTGGTTGGGGTGGCCTCAGGCATCCCCAAGGGAGCCGCTGCGGTGCCATATAAGCAGCTTAGTGATTGTCGAGACTTTAAAGTATTCGTGTGAAGATATCGCAAACAGGACAGACGCTACTATGGTCACCAGTAAACCATAATTCGACTTTGAGGGATCATATCTCAAAAAGCCGGGAGATAGCATAGCCTTATTGTTGCATATTATGCCACATAAGGTCAAACTTGACCCCACAAGCATCAAGAACCCGATGCTCCGGCTCGACTGTGCCGGCACACTGCCTCCTCGCGCCGGCTGCTAGCAGGCCGTCGCGGCCCGTGGTGCACCAGAGAGAGAGGTCGACACGTTGCCCCCGCCGGCGAGTCCGCGCGGCTCAGGCCGGCCAGAAGGTGTGTGGTGACGGCACCGTGGCAGGCGTGCGGAGAAGAGCTCGCCGAACGCGAGCAGCAGATGGCCAAAGTGTACCAGCGCGAGAGCCTCGCGAGCGGGCGCAGAAGAAGCTCGCCGTGACACGATGCCGGGCGGTGGTGGTGCTCTGGCGACTGTGCACAGTGGGCAAAGTCAGGCTGCAGCAGGGCAGCACGATGGTAGTGCCCTGCTGCAGCCTGGCCTGACATGCACAGGGCGAACAGAGACACTACTATCGTCCGGCGCTCGTCACCGAATCTGGGCCAACTTCGACCGCCGCCACAGCTCGCCACGAGCACGCAGCGACAAAATGTTGACTGTACGGAAGTTGAGGCTGGTCGAGAGGAAGAGGCTGCCGTGCGAGCCGGCAGCAGGCTGGCTCGTCGTGGACTGCAGCGGCGATTCTTATGGGTTTCTCTGTTCATACTAGCGTGGACGCTACTATGGTTTACCCACATTAAGCGAGTACTCTGCACTCGCGCAGGGATTTTTATTGGCTTCCAGCACCTCCGCCCCCCACCGCTGCGTTAAACGCTGGCCGCTGGGTTGCCTCTGCGAAGGCCCCGATGGAGGACTTGCAGGTGATTGGCACGATTCAGCCATCGGAGGCGCCGCTGCACCTCGTCGGCTTTGACCCTGGAGAGGAGCTACTCTGGTCAGCGAGCCAGGCCGGCATGGTTTACGCGCACCTCATGCTCTCGGGCGCACCGCACGTTGCATTTCGGTCGGACCGGGAGATGTCGCCGGCGGTGGCGGTGTTTCCGCACAGCTCGGGGTTGGTGACGCTCACCTACGCCGCGGCACACTTCATCTCGCGCGGCGGCGTCGAGCTCGCCGAGGTGCGGCACGAGTCGCTCGGCGTCCTCTCTGCCGGAGTGATGTGCGCGAGCGGCCGGACGCCAGCCGTCGCCCTCTGCGGGGCGGGCACGGCAGACGGCACAGAGGGGAGCGGACCGAGTTTGGCGCTGATGGATCTCTCCACCGCGCAGCTCACGGTGCAGCTGCCGCTCGAGATAGTTCCGACCGTCGCTCGGTGGGAGGGTCGGTCCGGGCTGCTTGTCCTGGGCGGCGGCGACGGCCTCGCTCGCGTCTTCGACGTGCGTTCGGGCGTGAAAGCGGTCGGCGCAGCGCCGCTCTTCCCGCGCGGCGTCATCCACGACCTAGACGTGCAGGACAACTCGCTCGCCGCCAGCGCCCTCCGCGCGCAGCTGGGCCCGCTTGGCCACGATGAGTACGTCTTTGACTCGAACCTGCGCACCGCGGACCTCCGCCAGCTGTCGCGGCCCGGCGCGCAGCTCTTCTTCGCGCCCGGTGCCGCCGCGCTCCGCTGGCGCGGTTCCGCGTCCTCGCTCCTCGTCGCCTCCCCTGCAGGGGGCCTGCAGCGGCTCGAGCCGCGCGGGGGGATGACGGCGCCGTCCGAGAGCCTTCCCTGAACCTTCTGGGAAGCTTCCCATAGGCTCGACCCGCGCGGAGGGATGACGGCGCCGTCCGAGGTCGCGACCGGCGCGGCGCACCGCGGCGGCCAGCTGTGCGCGCTCAGCCTCTCCTCGTCGGGCCTGCTCGTCGCCGCTTCCGACTCGACCGGCTGCATCGACGTCTGCGCGCCCACCGAGCAGACGCAGATCGCCGTCAACTTTTCGTCTGTGCCGACCGACGGGCTAAAGCCGGCCGAGCCGCGGGCCTCCTCGGGCGAGAGCTTCCCCTGAACCCTCTGGGGAGCTCCCCATAGGCCCGAGCCGGCCGACCCGCTCCCCTTCCTCGCGTGGGGAGAGCCGCCCAGCGCGCTCGGGCTCCTCCCCGACCCGCCGCCCTACGCCGATGCCCCGCTGGCGAGCGACTGGCCCGCAAAGCAGCTCGGCAAGCGAGGCACGCGGTACGCCGAGCCGGAGGTGCTGCTCGCCACGATCCGCTCGCTGGCGCCCAAGCAGCACGTCTCCTTCGGCGCAGTGCCCGCGATCTACATCCCGAACACAGTCGGGAGGCTGCCGAATACGGCCATGCCGCCCCTCTCCCGGCTGCACAAACCCGGGATCGCGCGGGGCGGCGGCAAGGAGCACGCGCGTGCCGCCGATAGCGACGGCGGCGACGAGGAGGACCGCGCAGCCGAGGAGATGGAGCTGCCGGCCGAGTGGAGCCGCTACCGGCGGCTAAAGGTCGAGCTCGGCCAGTTCGGCCTCGCGGACGACTTTTCTTTTGAGGAGCACAACTCGACGCCGCACCTGTGCACGCTCGACGCGACGGCCGCCGGTGATGGCTATGTGAACCCGCTGCTGCTGCTTCTGTACCTGCTTCCGTGGACGCAGTCCTTCTGCCTCGGCTCGCTGAGCGCCTCCCAGTTCGCCCTCTCCGATGAGCTCGGCTTCCTCTTCCACATGATGCGCGCCTCGGCAGGCAGCTGCTGCCAGCCACGCAACTTCCACCGCGCGCTCAAGCAGAGCCGCGAGGCATCGGCCCTCCACCTGGTCGACGTGGTCGATGTGGAGGGATCCCTCCTCTCGAAGGTGCCACCCGCCGCCACCACCCCCCTCCCTCGCCCTCGGCCCCTTCGCTCCCTCTCCCCTTCGCCCACCCTTTCCTCCGTCGTCCTCGTCTGCTGCCCCGTCGCCCCCGCGCCCGCCGCGCCCCCGCGCCCGCCGCGCCCCCGCACTTCCGCGCCATCGCCATCGCCGCCGCCGCCGCCGCCATCGCCGCCGCCGCCGCCATCGCCGCCGCCGCCGCCGCCGAGGCCGCCGCCCCCCTGCCCTCCTCACCGCCCTCCTCGCCGCCGCCCTCCTCCTCACCAGGCGCCGCTCTGGTCCACCATCTGCAAGTTCGTGCCGTTCTTGCTCGAGCAGCTGCGCAGGGAGGCACGCGAGGCGAAGCTGGCGGCCGCGCGGAGCCGCGAGGAGGCGGACGCGCGCCGAGCCAAGCAGCGCGAGATGGAGATGCTTACCGGCGCCGCGGGCGGCGCCGAGGGAGGCAAGGCGTCGCTCGACGCGATGGTCGCGCGCCAGTTTGCCGCCCGGCTCGCCGCCGAGGCGGAGAAGGCCGAGGCGGCGGCCGCGCGCGCGGGCGCGGACGCGGCGGCGCGGGAGGAGTCGACACCGATCGACGCCGTTTTTGGCGCCCTCTGGCGCGAGGAGACTCGCTTCGGTGGCGACGCGGAGCCCGCCGAGACGAGGAGTGTGCAGTCGATGGTGACCAAGCTGCAGCTGCCCGGCGGGGGCGAGGGAGGCGCGCCGCCGCGCTTTGTGGAGGCGCTCGGCGCGTGCTTTTGCAGCGAGTCGACGTCGCGCGCGTGGCACGCGCCGAGCAAGACGTACCGCCGCTGCACCATGCGCAAGGTGATGATGCGCACACCCGGCGTCCTCCTTTTGCTGTGCGATGAGCTCGGCGGCAGCGTGATGGAGGAGTGGGAGGCGGCGCACGGCGAGCCGTGGCTGCCGAGTGCCTTTGGGCTATCGCTGCCGAGCGAGCGGCAGCGCGGCGTGGCGAACGCTGCTGCCGACGGCGGCGTAGGCGGGGAGTCGGAGGGGTCGGGGCTTCCCGCCGAGGAAGGAGGTGACGCCGCCACAGCAGAGCCGGCGGCGGAGGGCGTAGATGCGCCGGCTGTGCGCGCGCTCGAGGCGGGCGGCGGCGTCGGCGACGGCGAGCAGGAGTACGAGCTGCGGGGGCTGATGAGCTTCACCAGAAGCACGTTTGTCCACGCCAAGGAAGGCTCGGGCCACCTCACCCTCTCTTTCCGCGTGCCCAAGCTCGACACGCCCCCCGCACGCACGGCGGCGGCGGGCTTCGAGAGTGGTGCCGTTTCAGCAGCGGCTGCAGAGGAGAGAGCGCAGGGGGGGGAGGGAGGGCAGGGGGGGGCGTCTCTGGCAGCGGCGCCGTCGACCGCTGCAGCGGCGACCCCGTCCGTTGGGCGGGACTCGGCGGTGGCGCCTGAGTACACACCGGAGGCGGCCGCGGCGGCTTGGGACGGCGCGGCGGAGTGGTTCGTGTGGAACGACTTTGCGCTCGGGCCCGCGGCAGAGGAGGAGGTGCGGCGGGCGCACTCGCTCTGGAAGCGGCCGGCCATCGCGGTCTACACGCGGCGGTGCGACTCTCGCCCCTCTCCGGCACCGTCCGCATGGTTGACACCTCCCCGCCTCTCTAGCGCCTCCGCCTGGCACCTCCCCCCCACGGTGCCAGCCCTCCTGTTTGTCGACGTTGCTGCCCCTCCCGCTGCCCGCAGGAGCCTGGCTGTCGACCTCACAGCGCTGCCCCTCCGGCCCGCCGAGCGTATGGCTGTTGCGGCTGACATCGCGCCGGAGTATTCGCTGCTGGAGGTGCCGGCGCCTGCGGCCGGCTCAGCCATCTCTGCTGCAGGCTTCAAGCCCTCCTTCAAGCCGCTCGGCTTGTCGGAGCTTCCGCTCGCCACTGGCCAGCTCGTTGCGATCGACGCCGAGTTCATCGCCGTCTCCGAGGAGGCGCGCTTCTCAAACCCACCCCCCCACCCCCCAATTCCTCTCGTATTTCCGACTCTTCTGCTCGCAATCTCCTCCCACCCGCGCCAAGCCCGCCCCCCGCAGGTGACGCGGCGGGGCAAGCGAGGCGCCAACGTGGTGGTCAAGCCGGCGCGGCTCGCGCTTGCGCGCGTGTCTTGCGTGCGCGGCCAAGGGCCGCACCACGGCGAGGCTTTCGTCGACTCGTACATCGCCCAGGCGGAGCCGGTGGTCGACTACCTGACGCGCTTCTCTGGGCTGCGGCCGGGGGACCTCGACCCGTCCGTCTCGCCGCACCACATCACCACTATGAAGGCGGCCTACCTCAAGCTGCGCCAGCTGGTCGACGCTGGCTGCGTCTTTGTTGGGCACGGCCTCAAGAAGGACTTCGAGATGATCAACATGCGAGTGCCGCCTGAGCAGGTGCTCGACACCTCCCATACCCCTCCTAGAGATCACAACTTCATGCGCTGTCGACACTTGCTTCGGGCAGGTGCTCGACACCGTCGAGCTCTTCTGGGCGCCTGGCAAGCGCCGCATCTCGCTCCGCTTCCTTGCCTTCCACATGTGCGAAATTCACATGTCCAACCGGCTCCACGACACGCACGACTCGATCGAGGATGCGCGGACTGCCCTGCAGATCTACGACAAGTGCTCTGAGCGCACCGCGCGCACCGGACAACTTGCGGCGCGCTCAGAGCTCGAGTTGTCCTCGTAGGTACGTTGAACTTCGTGCCCAGGGGCAGGCTGTCCTCGACGCTGCGATTGATGAGCTCTACCGTGTCGGCCGAGAGATGAGCTGGGAGGTGCCGGATGCACCCGACCGACGCTAGCATTTGCTCTCGCGCTAACCCTCGCTGTTGCTGCCCGACACAACCAATGTACTTTTTTACTCCGGCCACGCCGACGGCGCAGTTTTCTTTGTAATCGAGGTATTATCAATTCTAGCAAAAAATCAAGCTCGCCGACCGGAGGAGGCAGAGAGCGCGACCTCGAGATCTGGGAGGGAGATAACACCGTCCTGGTCGGCGTCACAGACGCGAAACAGGGCGTGCGCGAAGGATGGCTCCGCCGAGCGAGTTCCCGCCTCGCCCACGACAATACTGCAGCTCTTGAGAGCCTCCCTGAACGCGCGAAGCCCCAGCGTCGGCCAAAGGCCATCTTGGCCAGGCACCGCGCCGAGGTCGCTCATGCCGCGGCGGGCTGCCACCTGAAGCTCCTCTTCTTCGGTCTTTGGTCTCCGTGGCACAACCTGCCTTTGCACAGGGCTACGCTTGCGTCGCCACTCACCCTTTTGAGGCGGTTGTGGCACCGGGATAGATTCAAGCCAGCGCTCGCGGGCAAGAGCGAGCCACCGCCTGCAAGCCTTGGTGTGCAGCTCCCGAGGCCACTGTTGAGCCCACTCCAGCTTACCCGACGGGGACATGACGGCCGTGTTCTCCCGCAGGCTCCGGATGAAGCGCACATAGTCAGCCACCTTGACCGAGTTGGTCCAGAGATCTGCGAGCTCGAACACGGACTCAAAGAACATATCGAACGTCAGGGCCGGCTGCCCTCGCCCGTCGCTCTTAAAGTCAGCCATCGCCGTCTCCCAGGCCAGCGACTCGTCAAACTCGTTACCCTCGGTGCTCATCACAAACGCAAAGGCTGACCTGTGGTAGTCGAGGTACTCGCACGCTGGCATCCTCCCACCGTCGGTCGCCACAACCTCCCAGAGCTGTTGAATCTGCTTTCTAATCTCTGGCTTGAACCTCAACCAGCGCCGCTTCGCCTTCAACTCAGGCGTCTCAAAATCCCCCTCCGCTGTTAGCCCCGAGGCGGCAACCGACGACGGCTCGGCGAGCTGACTCTTAGACGGACCAGTAGCTGCGCTCCTGCTCGATTCGAGCAAGCGCAGGCCGGGAAAGCGGTCGTCGTACAGAGACGGCTTCTTTGCGGCGCCGCTAGCATGCAGCAGCGCGCACGACCCACGAGGCGGGCTCGGGCTCGCATCGGTCCTCGTGAGCGCGCCGCTAGCATGCAGCAGCACGCACGACCCACGAGGCGGGCTCGGGCTTGCATCCGTCCTCGTGAGCAGGCCACGTCCGAACTGTCCGAGCTTGGTGGACAGGTTTGCCAGCCCACCGGCGCTGTCCACCTCTCCAGCCTGCCCGGCCGCGTCTCCTTCGCACTGGTGGGCGGGCCGGGGACTAAGCTCCGACTTCTCTCGCTGGAACCACTTCCAGCCGTGGTCCATTGCAATGGTGAGCCGGGCCATGGAGGAGCGCCTCGGCCGGCCAGGCGGCGGATGCTCAGGAGTGCGGTGTGTTTTGATGGGTGGAAGCTGCACATCCTCGTTGCTCGTCGTCGATGTTCTCTTCAGCCGATTTAGCACCCGGCCGATGGAAGAGCGCCGGTTGCTGGCTGAACAGCGAGCTGGCGGCGGCGACACGGCAGGCGCAGACGCATGGCCGAAGGCGTCCTCGATCTGTTGGATGAAGGTCGGTCGCCGCATATGCACATACGCGCGGTGTGTCGGTTTTGCTTTCGCGTGATAGGCGGGGAGAAGTTTGCACTCTTCGGACAGTTACTGATTCGTCTTTTTACGAACATCAGGACCCCCACACATCAGGACCCCCCCCCCCCCCCGTTTCCGCTCCCCAATACGTACACCACGGCAGCGGCCAAGAGCAAATGAAGCTCTCACGTAGACTACAGAAGAGAAAGTGTTCACGCTAGTCGGTGGAGGTCAGCAAGCAAACGCCACGCAACGTCCATTTGGACGGTGCATCGTCCACTCGCAAGTCCACCGACGTGACGTAATTGAGGCCAGTGCGCTTGGGTGCTTTGTAGACAGGGCAGGTGTAGAGAGACTTCTTGTCGCTCGCCTTGCTGGCCTGCGCGCCCGTGATCCACAGCACAGGCAGGGGCGAAAAGAGCACCTTCGGATCTGAGTCCGTCAGTCGATCCTTAGGCTTATCCCATTTGGCACCATCCAAGTAGAGGCCGTACACGTAGATTCCCTCCTCCGGCGCCTTGCGCACCTCGTCCTTCTCCTGCTTGAGCACTTCCGAGTGGTCGATGACGTCGTCCAGCGCCCAGCCGTCCTTGTTGTGCTTCCTGCAAACCTCTTGCCGGTTGGCCGTCAGGAACCCCGTCGGGTTGAAGAAGCCGAGGAGCCAAAAGCAGAGTGGGCGCCCATTCTGCAGCCATGCAGTGAACTGCTCCGCCCGCTTCAGGATGTTGGCAAACCACACTCCCATGTTTGGCGAGACAAGCTGCGACACCTTCACCCACTTGGACGGGACTCGTGCCATGAACAGCGCATCGAGCATGTCGATAAGCTCCGGAGTCATGACAATCGTACCCGCGATGGCAAGCTTGAGGTTGACGAGCATCGACCGCACGGCCTTGAGAAGCTGCTGCAGCTTGTCAATCTCCTGCTTGAGGCAGATGTTGAGGGGCTTGCCCATCCCGCCCAAGGCCTTGATGCCGTCCTTGACATCGTCGGCCCGGTAGTCGGGCGGCAGCTTCGACTGGAGATCCTCCACCATATTGAGAACAACCTCCTCGCGCGTCAGGCCGCCGCCCCCGCCGCCCTCCTTTGGCTGCACATCCAGGATAGTGTCCAGCTGCTGCTTGGTCTGCAGCGTGCGATACGCCAAGTCGGCGTTCGAGTGCAGCCCAAAGATCTCGGGATCGTCGACCAGGGAGAGAGTTTCGATGTACTTGCGGTAATGGTCTACGTCCGTGCCGGGCATGCCAGGTCGGTTCGCAGGGATGATGTACGCCCCGGGCATGCCCTTGTGAAACTCAAAGTCAGCGTCGAGGCAAGTCTGCGTAAGCCAGGCCTTACCGTACGTGTTGAAGAGGCGGCGGTCCCAATCGTCGGTGATGCGGCCGCCGTACTGGACGTCGCACACCATATAGTTGACGGTGATCCAGTCGACCGGCCGCTTCTTCGACTCGACGTCACCGAGATGGTTCTGCATGAACTGCACCGAGGCGGAGAGGTCGGACTGGTTGAACTCGTAGGGCACGTTGAAGCCGAGCGGCCCAAACTTGCGCCGCTCCTGCACGATTGTGTGCATGAAGCAGAGCGCATACAGCATGACGCGCCATTGCGGCTGCGACACCGAGTCGAGCATGTCTTGGTTTATCCACGCGTAAGAGTTTTTTAGCCCGGCTTTGATCCCTGCGGGCGCCTCGTTTGTCATCTTGATCGACATTTGAAGCAGGCCGATCGGGAAGCGCGGGTGCGGCTCTGCGGAGATCCAGAGGCGGAAGGTCGGCGCCGGGTCTTGCTCGAGCTTGAGCAGCCACTGCTCCACCTCGCTCATAAAGCCGAGGCCGAGGTGGCAATTCTGCAGCAGCACCCAATCGCCCGAGGCCGTCCCTGTCGCGAGCAGCTTCCGCGCCGCTGGCTCCTGGCCCTGGCCCAGCGAGATCATCAGCACCTGCCGCTTCCGTTTCTTCGCGAGGTCGGTGATGATGCCGGTCGGGTCCGCGCCCATGGAGAGGAGCGCGATGGTAGGTACTCGCGCGGGTTCTTTTGCCCGTGCCCAATGTAAAGAAAGAAAGAAAACAGACAAGGCAAGGGAGGGAGGGGGGGGTCAGTCAGTCAGTGACAGTGTCACACACCTCCGCGTGGGGGGGTTCGTTTCAAAATTCTTTTGCCTGTATTAGTGCCAGTGCGCGCCAGTCCCGTGCCTGCGTGTAAAATTCTTTTGCCAAGCCGCAAGCCCATCTGGAGGCTGCCGAACAACATGGCCAGCGCGCTCGATTATACGCTCCCGGTCGGCGCGCACGGAACGGGCGCGGCCGACCGCCTGGCGCCGCAGCTGCTGGACGCGGCGCCGATGCTGCCTGACCCGAGCGAGCGCTGCCCCGGCGTCGAGAAGCATGTGCGGATGCTGCACGGCACGACGACGCTCGCCTTCAAGTACCAGGGCGGGGTGGTGGTCGCCGTCGACTCGCGCGCGTCGGCGGGCGCGTACATCGCGTCGCAGACCGTGAAGAAGGTCATCGAGATCAACCCCTTCCTGCTCGGCACCATGGCCGGCGGCGCGGCAGACTGCTCCTACTGGGAGCGCTACCTCGGCATGCGCTGCCGCATGTTTGAGCTGGACCAGAAGAAGCGCATCTCGGTGGCCGCCGCCTCCAAGATCCTCTCCAACATCACGCACTCGTACAAGGGGTACGGCCTCTCGATGGGCACGATGATTTGCGGCTGGGACGAGTCGGGCCCACAGATTTACTACGTCGACTCGGACGGCGACCGGCTGCACCACCACCTCTTCTCGGTGGGGTCGGGGTCGACGTTTGCGTATGGCGTGCTGGACACGGGCTACCGGTACGACCTGACCAAGGACGAGGCGCTCGCCCTGGCCCAGCGCTCCATCTTCGCGGCCACCTACCGCGACGCCTACTCTGGTGGCACGGTGCGGGTATACCACATCGACCAGAAGGGCTGGCAGCGCATGTCCGAGACCGACTCGATGGAGCTGTACTTTAAGTTCAGGCAGGAAAAGGCGTGAGCAAGGCGAGGCGAGGCGAGGGGCGGCGGGAGGGGGCAGCGCTCGTCTCCGGACTCCGCACATGCGGGCGGGCGCGCCCGCGCGCGCGCGCCGGGAAAGCGAAACCCAACAGGGGCAGCCGCGCTGGAATTGCCCGGGCTGCATAAAATATGTTTGACAGCCCCTTGGAGTGTGTCTCACAAGGCGCCGTAGATGTGCGCTCTACTAGTGTGAGACAGCAGGTCTGCCGCCTGTGGCCTGAAATTCAACGGTCAGACACAGATATAATAAACAGATATATTACACAATACACGTCCGACAGACCAGGAGGTGACAGGGCCGGGCTGAAACGATCTAAAAAACGTGCGTTCGAGACAGCAGACACCGCAGCCTTATTTCGTCGTCCACGACCACACGTCGCGCGGTCGTCATACACAAAGCCGTACTCTAGCTTTCATACCACACACCGCGCATGTGCACAACATGAATCATGATCATGTGCATGCATATGTGCACACCAGTCGAGCCCGCCGCGGCCCGCCCACCTTCCAGGCGCCACAGTGGGTGCGCCGCGCCACGCCGCCACATCAGAAATCCTAAGCTATGCCGCGCATCTTCCAACAAACACGTCCGTCGCCGGCTGCGCAGCGCTACCTCTCCTCCTTCCGCCGCTCCAGCCGCTCCGCGTCCGGCTCGCCGCGCCGCGCCGCGAAAGCGCCCGCCCCCGCCTCGGCCAGCGCCTCGAGCGCCTGGGCCGCAGGGTGGGGCGGTCAGGTGTCGGGGGGCGGGGAGTCGTGGACGGCAAACGGCGGCACGCCTCCTCCTCGGTGAGGCGGTGCTTCGTCCAGTAGGCTCCTGGGGGCGGTGGGAGGGGTGCGGCTTGGGTGGAGGTGGACACAGTCCCTCGCAGCGCCTAGCCAGCGGACCGTCCAGGTGGAGCACGGGGATGTCGTACCTCCGGTGGGGGGAGGAGGGGTTGGTACTTGACGGCGAAAAGCGGCAGTGGGGCGGTAGCAGCCGCGGCTGGGAGGGGAGGCTGGAAGCAACTTGGCTGGGGAGGCTGTGGCAACACGGCCCGTTGTCTCTGTGTGTGTCTCCGTGTGTGGCTCCGTGTGTCTCCGTGTGCCTTGGTGTGTCTCCGTGTGCCTCCGTGTGGCTCCGTGTGGCTCCGTGTGGCTCCGTGTGGCTCCGTGTGGCTCGGTGAGTGTCTCTGCCGCGTGCCGCGTGCGCGTGCGCGTGCGCGTGCGCGTGCGCGTGCGCGCGTGGCGTGCGCGCGTGGCGTGCGTGGCGTGCGTGCGTCGTGCGTGTGTGCGTGTGTGCGTGTGTGCGTGTGTGCGTGTCGAAAAGGACACACTTGTACTTTGCGAGCCACTGCGCGTGATCCTCGTCGGTGATGTCGACCGCCTCGAGCGAGTGGGGTGCTCGATCCTGCCAGTGGCGGACGAGCGGCGGAAAGCGACGTGGGAGGCAGGTGCCGCCGCACCGCAGGCTCGCTGCGTCAGAGCGGCGCACCGTCACGCCACGCAGCACATCGCGGACCTTATCGCAGAGGGTGCAGCCCTCCTTGGTGAAGAGGCGCACGGCGGGCACGTCCGCCTACGACGCGGGGTGTGTGGTCATGCCGTGTGTGTTGGGCGTGGCTCGCGGCGAGATGTGCCTGTGCATAGATGACGCCGCTGACGGATGCCATCAGCCTGCAGCCACGGCTCTGCCGTAGCGCCGGGCCGGCCAGTAGCGGGCGCGAGGCGAGCCGGGTGGCGGCGAAGACGGAGATGGTAGCGGTGTAGAGGAGTCCGGAGGGCATGCACTTGGTCAATGCTCGTTGCGGGTGGCCAGAACCAAGAAAAGTCGAACGCCACTCTCCCCGGCCGGAGTGTAGGTCCTGATAACTGCACTCCAAGTGCTCCAAGTGCTCTCTCTCTCCGCTTGGGTTGTCTGTTTTCTCTCTCTCTCTCTCTCTCTCTCTCTCTCTCTCTCTCTCTCTCTCTCTCTCTCTCTCTCTCTGCTCTCTCTCTCTCTCTCTCTCTCTCTCTCTCTCTCTCTCTCTCTCGCTCGCTCGCTCGCTCGCTCGCTCGCTTCCTCGCTCCGCCACGACATTCTTTTTTCGGTCGATGAACCCACCACACCTTTATGGGCGGGGCGGCGCGGCGGCGGATGGGGTAATTAATTATTTGTTAATTAATTATTACTTAATAATCATCGGACGGCGGCGCGGCGCGGCGGCGGGCGGGGCGGAGCGGGGCGGCGAGACCATCTGCAGTTACCGGGCCTCTCGTCATTGGAGAGCGGCAATGGTCGCGCCGCCCTCGACTCAAGGGGCTGCCTTCCACCGTCGCTGCTCTCAGGCCGGGGGAGCTCCGTTCCTCGCGGAACGGGAGCAGGCCCCTCCTTGCCCGGTCTGCGAAGCAGGGCGGTGGTCGTGCCATCTTCGATTCACAACGACCACGCCGCAATCGTCGCCGGCGCGCGACACGATCTCGTCGGCCGGACTGTCCTCGTCGAGTGTGTGCCGCCAAGGCGGGACGCACTCGCAGGGACGGTGGCGACGAGACGCGGCTCGAGGGGCGGCTCCCGCGAAGGCACGGCTGGCAACCGTGGCGCGGGGCTCTTCCTCTAAAAGTCGGGTATGGCTCCGCCCGCAACTCTCTCGCTGACACGCGCGCGCCCGTCGACCTTACGACGGGTGCGCTGCGGTCGCACGCCTCCCCAAGTCGTATGCCACGGCGTGCGATCTAGAATCAGCACACGCGCCTCTGCTTGCATACACTCATACAATGAACTGACATCTCCCATGAGTGCGAGTTAGGGCTAGTAGTAGGCCGCTAGCCTGTGAGGAGGGCGTCCATAGACACCTCACTAGACCCCACACACGGTCTCGTCCGTGCCCCGCCGGCCGGAGAGATTGCTGGAGGTAGAGCAAGCCTGCTCTAGCCTCGCATATCACTTCCTGTTGTCTGTTGTTTGTTGTGCCCTTGTTTGTTCTCTTGGCACCTTGGAGTGCTGGGGGGGGCAACAGGGAGGATGTGGCCTTGAGTTATGTGTACGCCTACTCAGGGTGTGTGGCAGCCCGCTGGCTGTGTGTCTTGTGAGCCTGTTTGTGTCTGTGTGTCGCTCGTGCGTGTCGTCATCATCTGTCCGGCGTCCACCCATACCGCGTTGGTGTCCAGTCCGAGCCTGGCTGTTCTTCATTCACCTTTCTACCTACCTACCTACCTTTATCTATGTTTGGAAGTCTAAAAGAAAGAAAGACAACAGCAACCCAGTGGCGTCGCGAAAAGAAATCGTTAAAATCCCTGTGTGGTGGCGGCGTGCCGTTCTCGCCGTGGGGTTTTGTTTCTTTCGAAAAGAAATCGGGCGAGCTCAATGTCCGAGCAGCTGCTGGCGCGTGGCGTCTCGCCGGCGCTGCTGCTCCTGCTCGCCGGCGGCGTCGCCGGCGAATGGACGGGCCACCTTGGCCTGTCGTTCGAGTCGGACAGGAAGGTCGAGGAGCGGACGATGCTCTGTCCATCGGGCTTCATCACCGGGCTCAAGGTGCGGCAGGGGCGTGACGAACGCTCAGACATCGACACGTACGACTTCCAGCTGCAGTGCGGTCGGCGGTGGTCGGCCTGGACGGGGATGACGTTCACGGGGCTGCGGCAGGAGAAGGCCTTCGAGTGCCCCATGAAGATGCACATGACGGGGCTCGAGGTGACCAAGGGCCGGAGGGAGTGGGGCGACGTCGACACCTATGACTTCAAGCTGCAGTGCTCTGGCGTGTGGCAGGAGTACATGGGGCTGGGCGTCTCGTCGGCCAAGGAGCGTGCGGCCAAGGAGTGCCCCTCCGGCACCATGGCGTGGGGTTGGAAGGCGTTCCGCGGCTTTGTCAAGCGCGGCGACCAGGACTACTACAACTTTGACCTCAACTGCAAGCCGGCAGCGGACTCGCAGCAGGCGGTCCGCAAGACGCCCAGTCCGCGCGAGATTGGGCTCTCGCCCAACGTCTTCCTCTGGTCCGCCAAGGACGTCGGCACTTGGCTCGGCGTGCTCGGCCTCGGCGACTACAGCGCTGCGTTTGAGGCGCGGGGCACGGGCTGGGCGGGAGGTTGGGACGGCGACGGCGGCGAGGTGAGGTCGCTCCGCCCCCCGCGCAGGCGAACAAGCTGCAGGGCGACGTCATTTTCCTGCTGCTCGAGTCGCACCTGCAGGACCTCGGCATGCGCAAGGTTGGCGACAGGCGCCGCGCCTCTGCGGGAGGGTGAGGCTCGCCCCGACCCCCTCGGCCCAGCCCGCGCGCGGTCGCCGCCGCAGGCTCTACTTCATGGAGGAGCTGACGCAGCTGCACGACTCGACCAACGCGTGGGCAAAGGCGCTGGGCACGCCGCTCAGCTCGACGCGCAGACTGCCCAACCTGCACAAGGCGGGGCTGCCGGCAGAGGCGCGCGCCTCCCTCGGCCTCGCGCCTCCCTCCGCCTCGCCACTCCTCGCCGCTTCGCCCGCTCGGCCTCACGCGGCGGACGCTTCGCAAGGTCGTCTCGTGGTCCGTCAAGGAGGTCGTGCGGTGGGTCGAGGCGCTCGGGCTGCACGAGTGGGCGCCTCTCTTCCTCTCGCACCGCGTGCAGGGCGACGTGATGTTCTCGCTAACCGAGGTGACGCTCAAGGAGATGGGCATGGCGCGGATCGGCGACCGTCTCTTCACCGTCGACTGCCTCCAGTCCCTCTACGAGGAGCTCACCTCGTGGAAGAAGCGGCGCGAGACGGTGCAGGCGACCGTCGACCCGGCGAGGCTGCTCGGCGGAGGGGCGTCGGCCGCGCCGCAGGGCGGGGTCACATCCGCCGGGCGGGGCTACGCGACGGCGAGCCCCTCCGGCGCCGGCGCGGGGAGCGCCGGCACGGGCGGCGGGCGCGGGTCCGCGGGCGCGGGCGCATCGTCGGTGCTGCAGCAGCTGCTTGCGCAGGGGTTTAGCCTGCAGGAGGTGTATGCCCTCGCAAAGTCGCGGCCCGATCTGGCTGCGAAGCTCGGTCTCTAGCCGTGGCGCGGCCGACTTGTGCTTGCAACCGGTTGCCACCCACACGACCTCTTTCTTGCGCCGGGGTGCGGAGTGGGTTTTGCTTGTCCATGTCGCGGCGAGCGGAGACGGTTACTGAGTCACTTACACACTGCCATATTGCGCCCCATATTTGTCCCGCATGATGCCCAGTACTTAAGCGGGTAAGAGAGCGTTTAAGTCACGTACAGAACAAAATGAGTTTTCGACGATCACCCACGCGCGCGCCGCCAGGCTCAGCTGGGCCAGGCCGCCCAGGATCGCGGCGCCCCTCCTGCGTCCTGGGACCTGGCTCGCCGGTCCCCGCGAGAGACGGTGGTCGGTGCGCGCGAAAGGAGTAGGGGCCTTTGTGCCGCGCACTCTGTCTCTCGCCCACAATCGCCTTTTCACGCGGTGGCGGGCGGGGCGTCACGTCCGGTCGCCTGTGTCCTCGGGCCGCCAACTCGCAACGGAACCAAGCCGAATTCTCGGTGCATGTGTGATGTGAGAGCACCGCCAACGAGCGCTCGTTCGCGGCGCTGTCGTTGGGTCCGCGCCGCGAGTGCCACAACACAGTCCACATGCCGTATCGTGGTGCCCCCTCTCACTCCTGTCCCCTGCCTTTGCCGCGGGCGCTTGATGGCCACGAATGCAAGGATTTGGTTCTTGTGATCCTCGTCCTCACGACTGCTCTCGCTCGAGCACGGCCAGCAGCACGCTCTGGTCGCGCGAGCGCCGTGGCGCATCGCAGCACTGCGCACGGAACTCAGAGCATAGTGTTTGCAGCTTGGCTGCGTCGTCGAAGGTTGCCACCGAAAAGGCCCGCTGCCGCTCCTCCAGCTCCGACAGCTTTTCTTGGTGGGTGCCACGCAGACCGGAAAGCGTGCTGCGGAGCACGGCGCGCTCCCTTTCGTAGCGCGCAATGTCCTGGCGCAGGCCGGCCAGCTCGCCCGATAGCCGCCTGGCGTTGTCCTCCTGCCTCTCTCTCTCTGCGACGTCGGCCGCGACCTGGCTGCGCAGGTGGTCTCGCGCCGCGACCGCGTGCTGGAGGGCCCGCTGTTTCTCGGCGAGGAGCTCTCGGTTCACGGCCGACTGGCTCTTGAGCCCCTGAATCCTCGAGAGCATTGAGAGAGACATTTCAGCCGGAGGATGTTGGTTGCTGACAGAGAAAGCGTGTGCCGGGTAACCCGCGCACGGGGAAGCTTCACGGGTTCGAGTCGCCAAACATTAAGCAGCGGAGGTGTGCCGAGGGGGACCGGGAGGCGGTAAGCCGTCGTCGCCCGGCGCTGCATGCAGCACCGTGGCGATGGCGCTAAGAGGTTCCTCTTTTCCGCGCCCCCCCCGCAAGGCGCGCGATACACAACAAGCGCTGAATGCTCCCCTGCAATGGCGCAGGAGAAGACGTGCTTATAGCCCCCCGCCCCAAGGGTGGGGGTGGCGTGCCATCCTCCCATCCCTCCTTTGTTCTGTTTTTCTTTTTTCCCGGGCCGCCAGGCCCTGGATGTGCGGTTACTGACTGCACTCCAACCAAGCAAGTGCTCCAAGTGCCCCCCGCGGTAAAGCGCGGAGCGAGCGCAGTTCAAAATATACCGCACGGCGCGGTGGCGGGGCCGAAGGAGCTCTACCAACATGCAAAAGTTACTGCGTGGCCGTATGTCAGAGCAGCTCGACATCCGACGGCTCGGCGCCACGAGCGCGATCGACGCCGGCCGCCCTCACGGCGGTCCCCATCGCCCACGACCTCCACTCGACGAGCTCGGCCGCGTCGCAGTGGGCCCGCAGCTGCTCGACCAGGGCGAGCTGGAAGGGGAGGTAGAAGCGGTGGAGTAGTTGCGCGACGGCGGCCGGGAGGGGAGGCTTGCCGCCGCCCGGCCGGGTGCCGTGAAGCACGCGTGGCCCGTCCAGCAGTGGCCCCCACTCTCGCTCGCTAGCGGGCAGCGGTAGCCCCAGGAAGGGGAGCACCCGCCCGAGGACGGCTCGCGGCGAGGCAAAGTACTCCTCGGAGCGGAGCGGCAGCAGGTGTGCGAACTCCCTCCGCCAGTGCGGCAGGAACAGGGCGTACAGCCCTTTGATCAGCTGGTCCGCGTGGTAAAAGGTCTCCTCGTTCTCGCGCGTGAGCGACTCGAAGCACAGCGCGCAGTCCTCGGCACCGAAGCGGGCCGTGCAGCGCTCAAAGGCGGAGACCGACTCGTTGGCCCACGCCAGCTCGCCTGCCGAGTCAGAGCCGAGCTCTGCGTACCTCCTGCGGTAGTGGACGTAGTTGTAAAAGGCGGCGTGCATCCGCTCGGCTGGCCGCCGCAGGAGGAGGACGAGCCGTGGCTCGAAGGAGCCGTACACCGCCCGCATCAGGGTCGGCGGCTGCAAGCGGAGGCCCGCGCGCCTCGCGACCGCCGCCTCGGCCGCGCGCGCCTCGGGCATCCTCCGCCTCATGCACTCGCGGTGTGGCAGCGCGAGCTTGGCCGCGGCGCTCCTGCCGTTGCACTCGCGCCAGAAGCCGCCCATCGCCTCGACGTACGCCGTGTTGAACTTTTCTTGATGGACCCACACAAAGTGGAAGGTGACTGGCGACGCCTCGCCAATCAGCCGGCCTGCCGACGCCTCGCCGACCGCGGGAGCGAGCGCTCGCAGGTACTCGGACCACGTTGGGTGCACCTGCGAGTAGAAGGAGTGCGCCACTCGCGAGGAGCGGGCCAGCTTGGCAACGCTGGGGTGGGCCTCGAGACGCGAGTACAGGTCGAGAACGCCGGCCTGGTACACTCCCAGCAGGTAGAA